CGGAGGTGGCGGGCTGGCGGCTCGGCACGGGCAGCTCCATCCAGGCAAATAAACCACAGCACCGGGGGTTTCTTGTCCGGCAGCGGTGGTGTTGGACAAGGAGCGATCTGTGGTCACTGCAGGGTTAAAGGCGGCTGGCGATGGGGGTCTGTAGAAAAGCAGGAAGGCTTCGTCAGCTCTGCTCTCTGGAATTCAGCTCCCTCACCCCTCCGTTTCTATGGGGAAACAGAAAGTTCACGAAAGATCAGAAAGTGTTTGCAGGTGGTGTTTTCCTCTGAAAAACTGTGGCGTTAAACAAAGATGCTTTAAGTTGTATCCCACTTTTCTGCTTCCATAACTCACTGTAAGTTAAATCCGGAAATATTTTATTTTCAAATTTAACTTGCTCCTTTGTTTTTACTTTTTACAGTTAAAACCATGGCACTGAAACAGATTTCCAGCAACAAATGCTTCGAGGGTTTCCAGAAGGTGTTTGAACATGACAGGTAACACTACAAAAGCCACCTATATGTTTAGCATGGGGCAGTGAATACATACTATCGTTTCTGTCAGTGTTCTTCAGCAGTCTGCAGGAAAACAGTGTCTTCTCACCAATATCCGTATTTCAGTGAGGAAATGAGCCAAAACTGCTGTTTTGGCTGTGTTCTTGTATTTCTGTGTTAATATTTAACATCTCAAGTAGTGATATAGTGCTGCAGACTTGAGACAGAAAGCCAATATTTTTGCCTTTTAAGATGAAACTCCATTACTTTGGCTTGTCCTGTTTGCAGCACGGAGGACTACTGTGTGTACAAAGTTCTAATCACTCTACTGGATATTTCACTTTTATGCACTCTGTCAGCAGACAGGTGCAGTAGAGAGATTCTTGTTGTTTGACGAAAGAGAACAGAAAAACATTCCAAAGGAAAAAAAATCATTAGTTATGTTTAGATAAGGTTTTATTGGCACTTTTAGGCTTTAGTATGAATTGGGCAATTGGTTACTCTGTAGATTTAGCAGACTGAAAATGCTTCTCTCTTGGTGGGGTATGCTGTGAATTGTATGTTCTGTGAGTCACATAAATGTGTTTTTCAGTAAAAATTACTTTCCAATTTAATAGGCAAGGCTCAGGTTAAGTGTTGCTGGGGTTCAAAATTCAATTTTCAGGCTATTGCCTGTTAGCAACACTGCAAAACTGTGGCTTATTTGTAAGTCTCTGTTTTAAACATGTTCACAATACGGTAGGAAGGTTAGCTCTTGTCAATTCAACAGTCTAAGGCTGAGTTTTTAAATAGCTTGTCACTTTACTTTTTAGTTGTTTTAATTCACTGATCAAATCTCTCTCTGAATGAAATACATTGGTTCAACTTTCTTTTTTTAATGTTAGTGACCGTGTTAATCAAGTAGTGGTAATAACAAGGAGTGTTTTATTAATACAGTGCAGAGCTGAAATGCAAAATGAAATTTGGAATCTACTTGCCTCCAAAAGCAGAAACCAAAAGGTGTCCTGTGCTGTATTGGCTCTCAGGTAAGTAACATGAATTTTAGTAACTTTAAAAAATATAATCTTAAGCATATTTAAGCTCCTGTGCTGCAGTTATTGAAAACCTGATGTAGAGGTACTTCAGTGGCAGATCTTGCATTCTACAAAAGGTCATCTGGAACACGCGTTTACTTTAAGCCTGGTGTGATAAAGTTGGATGCAGCCAACTTCAGGGGGTAGCCTACCAGACTGTGTTCTAAAATGCTCAGTGTTCAAAATGTTGTACCCTTTTCTTCTAAAATGTGTGTAGTTTTTTTGCTCTAAAACATATATGTTTAAAAGTTCTCCCGAAAGGCCTTCCCATTGGAATGCCTCCTGCTTCCCTTTGTCTATGACGGATTGCCTCAGCTAACAGGATAGGTGGCAAAGTCTAGCCCATGGGAGCCAGCAAATTTATCCTCTGGTTCCCACCATATTCTGAGTGCTGTTTTCCAGGGAGCAAAGTGGTGAACTTGGAAAAGGAAGCGCTGTTAGCAGCCTTGGCGCAAGCTCGTCTAGAGGGGCCAGGGGCTGAAGAGGGTTGTGTGGCAGGAGTGAAGTTGTCTCATCCACAGCATTGTTTCTCCATCTCTTCAGCTCCTGTGGTGTCCTATCCAACTGTTGTCTTGCTGGATGTAAGACAAGCTGGGGTGAGACTCTGTGGACAAACATGTGCTCCCACTTACTCTGGCTTTGCTCCTCTCCCCTGTTCCTGTTGTCTCCCACAGAGCTGGGTCTTGCGCCAAAAGCGCCTAAATAATTTAAAGCATTGCTTTCAGAATGATCAGATTTATGTTGGTGATGGCTCCAGGATTAATTCATAGAATCATAGAAGTATAGAATGGTTTGTGTTGGAAGGGACCTGAAGGATCATCTAGTTCCAACCCCCTGCCATGGGCAGGGACACCCTCCACTACACCAAGTTGCTCAAAGCCTCATCCAACCTGGCCTTGAACACTTCTAGGGATGGGGTATCCACAGCTTCTCTGGGCAACTTGTTCCAGTGTTTCACCACACTCATTGTAAAAAATTTCTTCCTTATATCTAGTCAAAATCTACCCTCAACAGCTTTTTATTTTCCGTTATTCAAAATGAAAAGCAGAAGCTCTATCTGTTCTGTAATTTTAGGAGCTGCTTTATTGATGCTTGTGTTTAGAAGATTGGAGAATTGACTGGTAGTTTGGAGACTATCTCTTTGGAGACTCTCTCTTTGGAGACAAAATAGCTAGTAGGTCTGATTCGTAGAATGACAGTGGACTGAGTGAAAGGGTTTACCCTTGAATTTGGAAGCATCAAAATTGTCTGAAGAGCTCTGAGTCATGCAGCACATTTGGTTTTTTGAATCTAAGCCATGCTTTCTTGGCTAGTATATCAGTCATTGGGTTATTTACAACTTGTCTTCAGAGAAAACTAGATTCAAATGGCTCAATAAAGAAAAATTGAAATACTGGTGGGCAGTACTATTTATTTGTAATTGGACTTCATTTGGGCCTGCTGCAGTACGAAAGGCTTGGATTGCTGTGGGGTTTGGAGCCATAGTTCTTGTGGGCCTTCATCCTGTCTAAAGGTTGTAGGATATAAAATGAAATGGGTTTAAACTGGAAGAGGGTAGATTTAGACTGGATATAAGGAAGAAATTCTTCCCTCATGAGGGTGGTGAGGCGCTGGAACAGGTTGCCCCATCCCTGGAAGTGTTCAAGGCCATGTTGGATGAGGCTTTGAGCAACCTGATCTAGTGGAAAGTGTCCCTGCCCATGGCAGCGGGGTTGGAACTAGATGATCTTTAAGGTCCCTTCCAACCTAAACCATTCTATGACTCGATAATTTGACACACTACAAGTATAATTCTGTAATGCAAACAGCTGAAATGGCGGTAGAGAGAAAAATGTAGTTGCAGGGTTAGATGTCAGAAGTTAACAGTCTTAACCTTGGCAACGGTCTCTGTAGTCAATGGATTTAAATACGCAGTGCTTGAGGAAGCTGTAGATGCCACATGAGTAGGTGCTCAAGGGGGTACAGAATACATATTGATCTGGTTTTGATCAAATGTTAGTGTGGCTACATGTGAAAGTGCAGCTGTGTCCGTTTCTCTGGGTTATTAAGTATTGTTGAACGCAGTGAAAAGACTTGTCCGTGTTTATGGAGATAGGAATTGCTCTTATTTTTCAAAACCTTTTCTGTCAAAAAGGTTTTTGAAACTGGTATGCTGTGAGCAATGTGTAACCAATTATATTTTTTTTTCTCTAGGGTTAACTTGCACAGAACAGAATTTTATAACGAAAGCTGGTTTTCATCAAGCTGCAGCTGAATATGGCCTCATTGTAGTCGCGCCAGACACAAGCCCACGTAAGTTTTGGCAAGAGATATGATAACAGGCGTTACACTGAAGCACGCTGTCTTTATCCTCAAAGAATGGAGTGCTGCAGTTTGCCACAAAGTGTTTTGCCCACCTGGGTCAGAATATGACCTCACCTGTATATCTTGCATTGTTTGCTAGATTATATTGTCTGTGTTCTTAATAACATGGTAGTGAAGGTTTGACTTTTGAAACTCCTTTATTGTCTAAAAACTAGGTGATTTAGACTAGTGGTACTAAAACTAGAACAAAGGGGCCATTGAGTTTGGTATGAAGGAGGAGGGAGAAGAAAAGGAAAATGTTATCAGAGACACTTGCCTGCCCTTTGTGGCTTGCTGAGATCTGCAGAACTGCGTTGTCACACAAAGATGCAATATTTACTCTTTATCATATTCTGTCTTCTAAAGCCTATTAAATACATGTCTCCAGAGGATTCCAATACTTAGAAAAGCAAACCAGCAACCCTTCCCCCCTGCAGCTGCAATGGACTGCAGATGAAAGGCTTTTTAAAATGATGTGCTGTTGTTTGTGTAAGGCTGAGCTTATGTGTGGTATGGGAAACCTGAAAATGGTGGATCTGCAGTTACTAGAAATACAGTCTTTTGGGGATTCAGTGTATTATTGCTGGATTATTATTATTGTTATTCAGTGTATTTGCTGGATTCTGCTAAAAGTCTCACGAGTGCTGTATACAAAGGTGGCAGTCTTCTAATATTTCCCAAGCTTTAATGGGTCAGATCTGAACACAGGTAATAGGGGAATGAAGTGATGTTCTTCCCAGAAAATATTTTTCACATCTAGGTTCTCAAGTTGTGTCAGGACAAGAAAAGAAATGCATGTTTCTAATGAAGAAGAGGGACAGAAGAGAAAAACTTGTGTATTAATGAACTTTACACTTCATTGTTGCTGTCTGCTGCAGACTAGAGATGGGCAACTAGCCTTTGCATTATTCACGTTATGTCAGGATTAGAATTACCCTTGGGTAATTATACTGGGATGTGTTTTTATTGTTGTCTGTGTAAGTTGTCTTTATCGATGTGAAACTGCATTTGCATAGTTCATTGCTCTGACCATTTTCTTTTAAAACCTTTGCAGCTTCTCTCTTGCCTTCTTGTCTAATTAAACTGATCAGGATTGCTCTGCTATTTAGATGAATTTCAGTGTGTGTTTCATATTATACTCAGATTTTAGCTCAGAGACCCCAGATGTTCTTAAATCCCTTCAAGCTGTCTGGAGAAAGAAGTGAAGAGCAGTTCAAATGTAATCCCAAATTGAGAGAAATGTAGAGAAAACACTTTACTCTGTAGTTATGACTCCATGAGAATTACCTTCCAGGAGCTAGGAGATGTATCTGGATGGGGTGAAAGACTGTGTGAAAACCTGAAATACCTGTCATTACAGACCCTCTGACAGGCTTGGCTTTACCAGACAGGTGTGCTGAGCAGTATTTTGCAGGTTCCTTTTCAAATTTCTTTTTTCAATGTTTCCTTTAAGTTTCTTCTGGCAGAATCAGCGTTGCCTTCATTGCTTTGCAGGACTTTCCGAGTTTTTATCCATCTCTGAGGGACAGATAGCAAACTTTTAATGTCCAACATGTTGCGTATGCACCTCCGGTGGCTGTTACAAAATCACTCAGTGTTCAAGGGCACTTCACTGGAGCAAACACAACTTTGATCCTTGTGAAAATCTGATTTCCCGCTGTGGCAACGTGGCAGGTATCTCTGCACAAATCGTCAGGGACTGTAAAATTTCACATGCATTTGCAGTGTGTTCTGACAGTGGTGGAAAGCCCATGTAATTTTGGATTGCAGAAACTAGGAACATTTTGGAGAGAGGGAGGCCGTTATTTCCTGTCACGTATACCTTGAAATATTACATTCCATTCTGCAAACCAGGCTGGTGAATCACAGGCTAATCAAAGGGAGAAGAAGTGAGGACTGGATGGGATCTGTTGACTTTCAAGGAGACATCTGCAAATTTAGTTTGAATGTGTAGCCTTGGAAAAGAGGATAGAAACCTGCAGTTATTCAAAGAAGAAATTGCTTAAGTTTTATGGGGAGTTATAGGCGGGAGCAATTAAGTGAATTGCGGAAGAGGTACAGTTATATCCTTAAAAAATGATAGGGACAGTAAGTGTTGTTATGCTGTTGGATGTTAAAAAAGGAGGTGTAGCAGACGTTATTTGAAGCACATAAACTGGTCTGGACAAACCAGTTGGTGATACGTGATTCTGTCCTTCTAGGGGAAAGAAAATTTTCTACAGTTCTTTCTTCTCACATACTTTCTTGTTCTTGATAGGATGAGGTCTAATAACTGAGGTAAGCTGATAGCACCAATTGAGAAGTGCCAACTTTTGAATAAGTCCCTGGGTAAATGGGATGAAGCTTTACAGTATTAGTTTAAGAGAGATCAATATGTCATGTTTATTTATGAAGGGATACTGAAACAAGTTAGAAGATGCATCTGTAAGTAATACGTTAGTGGCATTTTGAAGGTGATGTTGAAATAATACTTGAAACACTGAACTAGTGAATGAAAATCTGAATTGTCTTATGGTTGGAAGGGTAGAGGCATTTTGATGGAGAAACTCATGTCTCGAGTCTCTAATTTGTGATAGGTTTTCCAATCCTGAACATCTAGTAAAGGAAAGACAGTAAATATAGATAGAATTTTCATGATAGGTGGCTGCAATATTGAAGGAGAAGACGAAAGCTGGGATTTTGGCACCGGTGCTGGTTTTTATGTGGATGCCACTGAAGATCCTTGGAAAACAAACTATAGGATGTATTCCTACATAAAGGATGAGGTAACTTTTCTGCTGGGTTCTCCTGGAAGGGGTGTGGTTCAGTCATGCTCTTTGTTCCTAGCACCAAGCACCTTTGCTTGATAGCCTATGGATGGTTGGTTGTATTCTTGCTCTCCTCTTATAAAAATGATTTATTATTTCTCTTTTAATCCTTAGTTATTTCAGTGGCTGGATTTACCCAGTTGTTAGGCCCTTCCTCCCCAAACAGTTACTACTCCTCAGTAGAACTGAGGAGGGAGAGAACAGCACAGAGGCAATAACACTTGGCTGGGCCTGAGCAGGAACTCCTTGAGTTGGCTTTCCTGCTGGAGATGCTGGTTGGCCTACACTTCTAATCTTGATTCATTAGTTATTCAGTCTCTGCTCTTATAAAATGTCTGCTCTGCTGCTTCTGGAGCAACGCTCTGCATTTCACTGCACCAGTACTTCAGTTGTATTGCTCGTTTAGACTGTTCTTACTGTCTGTCTTGGGAGGGTGGGGTGGTGGTTTGGGTGTTTGTTGTTTTTTCTTTGACTGGGTGTAAAAGGAAATCCTTGAAATATATATTAGAAAGGTGAGTGTCCAATTTGCCATTTTGGTCACTTACAGGAACACAAATTTATGTAATGAGACTGTTTATTAGGAAATTCCCACATCTTGTGTTAGAGGGTTATGGTAGATTCCTATAGAGATACTTTGAGGTACTTATTATCAGATTGTTTCCTTTTGTTTTTACAGTCCTGTTGAGATTGCTTTCAGGCCATGATTTCAAATGTCAGGCTAGAACCAAAGCTGTGCCTTAGGTTACAGTGACTTGCTGGCATTAAAATGCTCTAGTTATTTGTGTACTACTTTGCCTAAACGTACTCAAGTTGCTTTAATGTTTTTATGCCACTGTTGTTCCTTTACAGCTGCCTAAACTAATAAATGCGAATTTTCCAACTGACCCTGACCGGATGTCTATTTTTGGGCATTCCATGGGAGGTCATGGAGCTCTTATTCTTGCTCTGAAGAATCCTGGAAAGTACAAAGTAAGATATAATACAGCTTGTCTGAGGTATACTAAGGCTTATACAGATTTCTATAGAAGTGAAGAAAGAAAGCATAATACCAAATTCCATTACAGCATTAAATATATAACAGTTTTAGTTGTCACAGTTCATTGATACCTAGTATTAGAATATGGAAAAGCCAGAAACACCACTGTGGAATGTGAGTGTCAGTGAAATTTAAAAAAAAAATCTGCAAATTTTAAAAGTTGAGTTCAGTTTCTTTTGGATGATGCTATAGCTCTTCCAAACCAATTGTTATACTTAAGTATTGACTTCTAGCTCTGGAGTTGTGTGATTTGCTATATTTTCAGATCTTATCTTGTTCATTTTGGAGCTTTTATTACCAGCAAGCATTTTCATCGTCATTATATGTCTGTTTGCTTAGAATTTACTACAGAGTCTGTTAACTCCATCTGCTAGCAAGTGTAACTGTAAGAACCTGAACTTCACCTGGAATAGTATCCAGAGGACATTTCCCTCCTCCTCTTCCCCTTCCCCTCCCTTCAGATTTGCATGTCAGCTTTCCTAAAGATTGATTTTTGAAGTATTCGAGGTGCCTGAAGTTGTGTGTGTTTGTGTTCTACTTGAACCTAAATCAAACATGCTGGAACTGGTTTGCCTTTTCTTTATACTCCTGAGGTTTGAAAGAAATTTTGTTGTTCTCTTTGGAGATACGCTTCTGCAAAATGCATTTCTGAGGGAGAATCAGGCACTGGTGTTTCAGAGATGAGGGGCTCTGCCTTTGTGGATCAGTCCTTTCATGGGCTGTCCTGTCCCTGTACTTTGTGATCAGCTGCTGCAAAAATGGAACTGTGTTTTTGAAAACGGCGTAACACTTGCTCAGTGTCATTAGCTTGGCATTATAAGAGAGCTGAATGTAAGATAAAGCTTTATTTTTGTTATCTCTCCTTTTTGTCTTTTGGAGCCAGTAGTTCAGAAATTTCCATTTTCACTGTTGGCATTTAACTGTTGGTTGTATTGTCTAAAAGAATTAAATGTTAAATTGAAAATACCAAACTCCACGAGAACTGGCAGTGGCTCAGACAGTTTGTTGCTATTTCTTGCAAGATAAGAGTAGTAATATTGATATCCCAGGGCTAAATCCAAAAGAAGCATAAGAATAGGGCTTGGACTTCTGACACCTGTACCTGGAGTGGTGATCTGAAGTGCACTGTTCTTGACCCCTAATCCTGGAGGTAGCTAAATTCATGAGACACTGTTGCATGCTCAGACTGGCTGAGCAGCCCCGTGCCTCAGGCCTTTCTCATGCTGTGCCAATATCCAGTTGGAGCTGAAATAGTCCCGCACTTAGACCATGCTGACCAGACAACAGACTTGAGATGCTTCTCTGCTGCTTCAGGGAATTCAAGCCAACATTTCCCAGCAAGAAAAAGAACGGGACGTCTAGCCCTGCCTCTTGAAGCTTGGCTGATGTGCGAAAAAGGAAAGCAAAACTGTGGATCTAGAAAAAACAAATAAGAGGGAAGTAGGATAATAGTTAGGATGCCTAGTTCAGAGAATTGGTGGGGGAGCCGTGGGTTCTGGCACTTTTTGTTTGTTAGTTAGCAGAATCACTTTTCTTAATTCATACATGTTGTTTTGTTTTTT